AGTTATTGAACTCTTATCCATACTACGCTCAGGCCAATGGGCAAGCGGAAGCATCCAATCAAACACTAATCAAGTTGATCAAGAAGAAGATAATCGATTGGCCAGGGAAATGGCACTTAACATTGAATGAATCACTATGGGCTTATCGGATGGCTTGCTATGGGTCAACTAAGTGCTCTCCTTACGAGCTAGTTCATGGGCATACAACCGTTCTTTTTCAGGAGATCAGGACTGGATCACGATGTACTAAATTCCAAGAAAACCTGACGGCCAACGATTACAAGGTTTTGATGATGGATGATCTGAAAGATTTAAATTGTCATTGGCTCCGCGCTTTGGAAAACATCGAGGCTCACAAGTTAAGGATTGCCAAATATTATGACAAGAAAGTTAAATCCAAGCAGTTCCACGAAGGCGAGTTAGTTTGGAAGCTGGTCTTGCCAATTGGGACTAAAGACAGCGCATATGGCCAATGATCACCTAACTGGGAGGGGCCTTATCATATTACTCGATGCGTACCTGGCAATGCTTGCTTCTATGAGACACTAAAAGGCGAAGAGTTCAACAGGGCACCCAATGGGAAGCACTTTAAGAAATATTATCCTAGTATTTGGGTTGATGCCTGAAATGGCCGATTGTATTTTCATCAGCCTTAACAATCGATATCAGGAATATCACCTTTAGAACAAAAAGTGAAGTAGCTCCAATTCAGCCTAGAAGAAGAAAGTCGATGTGGCATGCATCGCCTTTAGAGCAAAAATAAGAATAAAATGAAGTCCGCAATACAAAAGTAAGGAAAAATCGGTTCAAACACAAGCACATAGTTTATTCACTGATTTCCTATTACAATCTAAGGGCCGAGAAACACTTTGCTCACAATATCTCTGGCCGAAGAAGTAAAAGCTATGGTATTCGCGGCGTTTGAAAAATCTTCGATCAAGTTTTCATGATCTTCAGGATGGTCGGTTGCTGGAAAACCATGGGGAAGAAGTCGAAGCTCGTGGCCAGAGCGAACTTGCACCACTGCCAGCGCGACGGCAGCACCATGGCGTTGACAAATCCTGCAGCATAGTATGTGGCCAATTGAAGGCTTTCCAGTTGCTCTGTTAAGGCTAATGGATTCAAAAAGAAAACGACCAGGAGACTGCAAAACCAGGACTGTGGAAGCGGGAGTCACTATAAGAGGTCTCACCTATGATCTTGGCCTCAGCCTCTACCAGCCTCGCTTGAACAGCATTAGCCCTGTTTTATGAGATAGTCAGGGCATCCTGCATCGTGTTTAGATGAAAATCAATCAGCCAAAGATCACAAACTGCGTTGGAGTACAAGGACCGGGATTCATCCCTCTCCTGAAGGAGGCAACGAGCGTCGCCCCTGTTATAGAGACCAGAAGGTTCTGAGGAAGGATCCACCGGGGCCACCATGTGCGCGCCATTGGGGCCGATGATCATACGGGGAGGAACACCACCATTTGGGTCGACCCTGCGCATGTGAGAAGTTTAACCAATCTGCTCTAAAATTATGAGGTCAAAATTATTCTTACTCTTGAAGGTGAAAATGCTGGTTTGGTAGCATGAGCTCAGCAGGGATCTCATCGGTAGGTCACTTGCCATTGTCCATCTCTTTGGAAGAAACGAAGATCCTAGAGATCTTGAGCGAACAGCTTGCACGAAGACGTGAGCGATTGGAGGAGAGGCAGATTGGTTTTCTGGCTGCAAATCATGGTCCATATTTATAGCCTGGGAAGATGCGGCGGTTAATCCCCTCGGGATTATGCAATCGGAATTAGTTATGGAAATGGATCGTTGCTCCAAAGATTGAGGAGGCGGTTCACAAAGAGTTGGAAAATGCAACAGATTCAAAATTTATTGCTTTCCATAATCATGGGTACCTCGGGTCCTGGAGGTTTGTTACAAAAAGGATTGCACCTGAAACCAACCGATCATCCTAAGAAGACTTCATTGGATTGAAGGGAGTCTGGACCCTGCAAAGCTGAAAAAACATGGACGAAGATCACATCGGCTAAAGATGGAAGTAGCATAAGGGGGAAAAGGTTAATAGGCCTACCAAGAGCGCAATGATTTCGTAGGCTTCTTGGCATAGACAAAGCGAACAAGGGGAAGGTGCCCACACATTTGAGCCCTTGCAAACACTGGAACAACGTCATGCCAATGGTAAGAAGACTCAGGTGATATCATAAGAATTCTTCTGGCTGCGGTAGCCGATTCCCTTGCTTGACAAGGTGCTAAAATGGGCAACACGATTGCCCTAAACATAAGAATTCTTCTGGCCGCAAAAGCTTTCATAATACAGCAATGGTCCATGGAGGATCTAAGAGAACTAAAAACACTCGAAAGAATAGAAGAGAAGGGAGCATGCTTGAAGCTTGAAATTTTATGGTGAAGTCGGGCCAATATTTATGCTCATCAGAAGAATTGAGTCCAAACGCCCGTGAACCAACAGTACGCCCGTGAAGCCTTGGAGTGTAGGATGACGGCAAAAGAATGGCATGCATGTGCAGCTTGTGAATGACAGAAAGCATGAAGAGATGGAACAGAACCAGCAGGGCCAGAGCAATTCCCTTAGTCTCCAGTGAAGGCATACCAATAACTTCTAAAAATGGTGCGAGGGGAAATTTCGAAATAAAATCATTTTATCCCAAAATTGGGGGGCATGTGTTGACACTAGAATTTGGTTCGTTGCATGAGACCCCATAATTCAGAATGTACTGAGAAGAGCTGAGGCAAGTGCTGAATCGGCTGGTCAAAACGCTGATCAGAGTCAGCTAGATTTTAATAACATCATCTCAAGAAGACTCTAGCAGTAAGAATGGCATTGATCTAGAGAAGAAAGACACGTCGGACTCCACAGAAAGGGAAGATTGGGGTCCAAGTTATCGTAATTTAGGAAGCTTTGTTTTTTTTCCAAGTTGTGTGACTAGTCTTGTTCGATCAGGTCTCATAGTTAAGCCTCAGGTATAAATATTGAGCCCTGGCTATTGTAATGGACATCTCTCATCGATCGACCAAACAAGTACATTTACCTTTTTGGCTTATGCCATCCCTTAGGAGTAGGAGTAGAGTAGATTTCAACGAGTTCTTTGGGCAAGCAGGGCTGCATTGGACGACCTGACCTCTGACTTGTTTGTGAGTATCCATCATGACTTATATTGTTACTTATAAGGCTGCAACAGACAACTGATCTCTTGCAAGTCACAGTATAAGTTAGTTATCGATCTATATTGTTATTTGTAAGGCTGCAACAGACGACTGATTTCATACAAATCATGGTATAGATTAGTTATCGATTCGTATCAACCTTTAGAAGGCTGCAACAGACGACTAATCTCTTATAAATGTTGGTATTAATCAAAGTTATCGATATTATGCTAAATAGTTTACTGTTTAATATAATATCACCAATTACCCGGTCTAGACTGAAATTCATTAGTCCTATCTTTATGATCTATCATCTGCTGGTTATTCTCACGGATGAATTTAATTCTTGACGTTAGATCCTGCTCATCAACAAATGTATCTCGATCCTGATCGTACATGGTGAGTGTTTGAAGCCGTGTTTCATTAAGAGATGGGATCATTAACCACCGATATCCAGTTTGATTTCACTATCAATGCTGCATCAAACGACTCATCTGTTGATAGTGCGTTAGATTGGATAGTAATAGTTAATGAATCTATCTATTAAGAAGGATATGGCGTCAACCACTCGCTATGTTTCCATCGGCTATTTAGCCGATGGCCTGAGCTTCCACGCGTGTAATATGCCTTCATATTTCCATTATGCTGTGAGTAGATCTATTGATCGCTAGTCTCTGATCTAGATTCCTACTGTCAATGCTGCATCAGATGACTCGATCTGTTGGCAGTACAATAGATTAAGTCTAGTCAGTTTGTAGATCTATTTATATCTCATGGACGAATGATCGTATGTTATATGACAAGATCACTGGAATCGGTTATTTTAGTTTTTAGTTGATAGCCTATTTGTTGAGAATATATTAGCTATTTACGTGTTTGTACTTGTTTTTATCATGATTAAAAGCTAGTATGTTTCTCATTTAATATGAATGTTTTCACGCCTACCTTTTTTTACACCTTTTTGCATATTTTTATGATCATCGGCTACTTAGATCTATACAATTGATTAATTGATAATTGCTGATATGCTTATTTTACTTATCACGCATCATGAACATGCTGGATATCGACTCTCTAGTCGATAGCCTTATCTCATCGGCTACTTAGCTGCATATTTGGAACTGTCTAGACAAACACCGGCATGTTACATCTTAAATTACTAATCAATCTTGTCTCCTTGTCAATTATAGGGTCAAATTGACTGGCACGTCCTAGGTCACGATCATCCAGTCCGATGTTCCCTTAAGCCCGAAGAGAGCTCGGGATCTGGTCCACGCGGTTTCTCTCGCCTTGCTATGTGCTCCCCGGACGGCAGCCTGTCACTTTTTGCCGTCCACACCTTGATACTTTATTTTTGGACAGGAAAGGCATATTACCTCTGTGCTGCTCTTCATAAACTTCTTCGAGTACTTCCCTGTCAACTCCATACTCCTCCGCTGAAATTAAACGACAAAGTAGACCATCAGCCCAGCAACCTGTGATGAGCAAAGCGAACCATGTATAAGAGAATTATGTATTCCACGTGTAATAGAGAAGGCACCTGTGTCCATTGACGACGGGGAAACAGGTGATTGAGAGGGCGAAGAATCACACCTAAATGGCGGTGCCTGATGATGAAGATACGTCTGCATTGTGACAGGGAAAGCCTGGTTGCATACTCCATTTTCCTGGGTATACTGAATAGCGACATAACCATGGCTAGGGTGTGATGAGGTGTTAAGGGCAAAGGCTATATCTCGGCAAGCTCCTGCTCTTTTGTGGAATTTATAACTCAGGACCTTGCAGTGCGGTGAAAGCAATGGCTGCAGCGAACGGGGATAGCACGCATGAGGAGGCAGGTGACTAATGTCTATTGCCACCAGGGTCTGCCAAGTAACGGTCTTCGCGTGTAGCAAACTGTATAACGAAGTCTGCGTGGAAGCATGCAACATGGATTGGGCTAGTCCTGTGGCCAAACTGGTTTCGAAGGGCAAGATGGATATCTCTTATGGATGGCTTTGCTGTGCTAGGACAAGCATCAATAGCAAGAACCGCATTTGCAAGGTTCGCCTCCACGATGCTCATTTCAGCATTTGGTTCAACAACCGAAAGGAACGGGGCACTGGCTGCATTCTGTATAAACACATTCATGTACAATGACTACGTGATTAATGAAATACCAATAATCGTACTCCATGTAGACTGGGATACATACCATTGTGGATCATGCTCTTGATAGCTTGGAATCCACTTGCCTGTCTCTACAGCCGAACAAAGCTGGACGTATGTTAGCGCAGTGGGAGCAGAGCCTAACGGTGCTGTCCCACCGTGAGCTTTAGCCGTCAGTACGACTAAGCACCGTCTGTTTCCCAGGCACTTAACACGTGACAGTAAGAAACTAAACACTAAGACTAAGCACCATCTGTTTCCCATGCACCTAACAGAAGACAGCAGATGGCTGCGTGTAGACCAACAAAGATCTCTGAACCTATTATTTTTTAGCACGAAGTGTGACTAACGCTACCGGGTGAAACGTTTTTTTTTTTTTTGCACAGAGCAAAGGCGGGGCACTTTAGATCTTCATTAAAGCCCACTTTAGAATGACTTGGAATTGGATCTAAAGAACTGCCAGTGTAAATGGTCACGAACTTTTCTCTGAGATCCCTAATTATAGTATGAGCTGAAATAATCCTAAAACACAACGGCCTAAAAAAATATCTAGACATGGAAAATGGGATAGACCAACGTCTTACCGAACTAATCGTGGGCTGCAGTGGGAAGATTGCGTCGGCAGCAGGTAGTAAAACCTGTAAGCGAGCCGCTGTTAAGCTCTTGGACTCCAAAACATAATAAGCAAAAATGGCGGATCTTGTTAGTACTCACCAGAATCAGGGCTCGCTCGCGCCGCTGCGGCACTCAACAGTGGGGCCCGTCTCCGGGCGCTGCGCCGCCGCCGCGCTGATGCGCCCCGGTGCTGGGAGAGAGAGAGAGAGAGGAAAGAAAGGGTGTGGCATGGCTCGAGAGGGCCAAAAAGAGGAAGACGGGGAAGAAGAGACCAAGCGTGAACCCGAGCCTGTGTCCACCGGCGCCCGTGCTAGCGTCCGTGCGTCGCGCTAGCCGACCGCTAGGACCCACTCGATGCGTGGTCTGCCTTGCAGTGAGCGGTGGCCGCGGAAACCGCTACACGCTTAGTGCGCTGGGTGTACATCGAGCGCTGGGTGGCTCCACCACGCGGCGGGCTACCATGACCATGGTCGACATACTCGTTGAGAGAGCCCTTAGCGGCTTACCTGGAGGGCCCATTTTATCGCATTGTTTAGCTCCGACAATGTCTAGCAACAATATCGTGTACACGGATCTAAACGGTAGCACAAGAGACATAAGGATTTATACTGGTTCGGGACGTGGTGTGCGCTAAACACTATTTCAGTGGTGCTGTTGCCCTTGTATTCGTATACTAAATTACAGGGTCCGTTGCTTCCTACGTTACCCCGATACTCCAATATAGGGACATATCCCGTATCCGATACGTATCCATATTTGATATGGCTTGGATACGCGTTGGATACGTATCCACGGAGTATCCGTAAAAAAAATAAATCCACAATAATTCGGATACTCTTGATGGATACATTAACCTTGTTTGATATGTTGGTCCGATACGGCCAAGCCCATCAACAGCTAGCTGCATAACTCCAGACTCCTTCGTGCAGCCGTGCCTTCTGCCTCTTCTCCTCTAAGGCTCTAACCCTACACAGCCGCGAGAACATGCCCGCACGCAAGAGCTCCTCCACGGTCGAGCGGCAAGGAGGTCCTCTGCTTCACCGCTGGTCCTGTGGAGGCTAGGCCAGTGAAGGGAGCTAAGACCACCACATCTCTTGCTGGTCATGGGTAGCAGTTATGTTACCTTAGTGAGCTTTCCCATTTTCCCTTTCTCTAATCCCCTTTTTGTTTAATTTCTCTCCGGGTCTTGATATACCTGAATAATTTAATCCTCCCTCAAGTTGACTAGTTCTACTTCTGCACTAAACACCTGTACATTCTTAATTGGATTTTGAGGAGTGGATGAAGATGCTTGGCAAGCTTCTGTTGGAATGTTGGCTAGATGGAAATACAAAAAAACATGAGCATGAGCAGAACAAGACAATTGCAAGCCTTGGCTGCTACTGCTTTTAGAATTTTTAATATGCTTTAGTCTTATTTATTTATAGAAGAAAAATACTAAAAACGTATCCATGACATGTATCAAATTGAGCACGATTTTTTTTATCTCGAGAATCAAGATTCATTCGAAGGGTATCCCATGTCAACCGTGAAGAGGATTCTTTTCAACGCCCGATGCGCCGCGCTACAACGATGGTTTCTTGAATTCAAGTATCCGTGGACAAAGATCCGTGATTTTGCTTTGTTTGCAGATAGCTGCAAATTCCACGGTGGAGATGCTTTTTGTTAATGAAGGTTGCTCCTAGCTACGATGTAGTTTAGTGCTCATAGTGAAGGAAGATTGGATCCCAAGCAATCCATGAGGTCCCCACCCTCCTTTATAAGTATCTAGGCTTGGGGAGGTAGGGTTCATGAGGAGACTCAACAAAGGTAATCGAGAACTTTTAACAGATTGTGTTCCTAGTTTGTTACAGCAGATTGATCGTAGCTATCGCCCATTGATCACGAAACAATCTCATCTCGGTTTGCTTTGATCTCCACGTTGGTCGATGCGTTTTGTCAATAAAAAAGGAGAACCCGATTTTGTCTTGTCCAAGGCCTTCCTTTGACAGCTGCTAGGCCGATAGCTTGGTGGCGATCGAGATATGATGGGTGGTGTAGGTACCTCGCTTATTATGGCTTATATCAACTTCAACTAACACTTATAGCAGTTGCTAGCCCCGTTGGGGACTTAATGATAAGCGGCATGTAGCTTCAAGCCCTCGGGATGTCGCGAATCAAGAGATCTCCTCAGAAGTTCTACTACTGTAATCGTAATGCATATTATGTTCTTGTATCCGTAGTGAGCATCTTAGGTTGGGAAGGAAAGTAAAGCAGGCTAATGGAGCAATTGAGCAAAGTATTTAAGTCCAGGATGTTCCCAAGTAATGGGGAGTCTTGTGCAATGCTTTGCAAAAGAGGGAGCAAGATATGTTGTCGTTCGAGTACCAAGAGCATTTTTGAGGGTAGCAAGAATCTTCTTCAAGCATAAAGTGGTGGAAGTGGCAAAGTGGTTCATAGAGGTGCCATTAATTATCACATCAAGGAACGTTGTTGATAGGCAAGTTCAAGGCAGGCTGTAGCTACTTAGATGTGTCATCATTCAATCCATCCAATTCATTTGCTGGTGGTACACCCTATATCGGGAAACATAGTTTCCTGGGCATAGCCCTCGGGATGTTGTCAATGTCACATTCGGGTGGTGTTCCCGATAACCAGAAACGTGGCTTCCAAGACATCGTAGATGCCATGATAGGGTTGAAATACCGTTGTACTCGAGAAGTTGATTCCTGACGTATTTCGGCGTACAAGTAGTGCTTGTGCATCATTAAGTCCTAGTCGTAAAACAATAATGAGGATGGGGTAGGTGCACCTTCACCTTTGGTCATGGGTAGCAGCTTAGGCGTCACTAACCTTTTGTTTAATTTCTCTGTCTTTTTAGGGTGACTAGTTCGTCGCACTAAAGTCGTACATTCTTAATTTTTGTTGGATGAAGAGCACCAAGGAAGTCACGTTTCCCTAGATGCGACTGCATGAGCAATTGCAAGCGAGGCAAATTGTTGTGAGCTTCATTAGTGAATGAGGAGGACGTTGTCCTGTAGCCACGAGGCCTAGCTATGATGTAGTGACATTCCAAAGACGGGTGATCTTTATATGGGAGGGCGAGAGAGGTGTAATTGTGTTCCTAGTAACGTTATGAGATTATCGGCAATAGCGTTTGTGTTACTCTTCGAGGTGATAATTCTTTGAGCCGATAGCTTGATAATCGGTGGAACGAGTGAACGCCGAGCCCGTGAGGGACAGCGAAGGAAGCGGCAAGGACAAAGCCGAAGACACGTAGTGGGGCACGCATTCATAAAACTCTTTTTCTATATAACAAGAGCTCAAGCATCTGGCGGTGGTTACGACATCACGTTGTTCCCATTTGTAAGTGCTCGCTTCTCGGTGGCCAACCATAGTTTCTCGGCATAGCCCTCGGGATTCAATGTCCGGGTGGTTTCCGATAACCGTAAACGTGGCTTCCAAGACACATGCCATGATAGGGTTGAAATAAGGTACTTCGAGCTCGCGTCGGGTATTGAAAGATTTATGTGACAATAATGAGGTGGGGAGGTTTTAGAGTCAGTGGTGACCTGCCCACCGAAGTCACCCTTCGACTCTAGAGTGCAAATTGGTGGCTTCATTAGTGAATAATGAATCGCTACCGCTTACATACTGCGGGCTAAAAGGGGTGAGCCGGGCAATAGCGAGTTACCCGATCCGAGTGTCGATGATCGCTCGTTCATCGAAAGGCGGCGAGGACAAAGGGTGGGTGCGTTAACTCTTTTTCTATATCAAGGGTTTTGGCCATGAGGCCCCCACGGCACACATCCGTTGAAATAAGGTACTTGAGCTCGTCCGGGTATTGAAAGATTTATGTGACACCGGGTGTCGAGGTTTTGAGATGGGTTCCTTCTTAGAGTGGCGAATGAATCGCTGACAGCTAAAAGGTTGGTTTTTCATGCCCATTTCCCCATGTATGTCTCTCAGGAGGCGTCCCTCAGGAAATCATGGGGTCATGGCGTGGCCTTAACAGCAACACTGCTCAGAGAGGTTATTGGAATTCCATCGGCCGTGTGTGTCCTTTGCCTATAAAAACATAGGAAGCGGAGAAGGATTAGTAAGCCTATGCTAAAGCTTTTGTATTCTTACCTTTCGTTGTCTGTCGTGGTATTCCCCGAGCCTTTGTTCATCATCCATGCCCAGAGATAAATGTGTGAGGGTGGAGACAGAGGAGGAGGGGCCCACTAGGAAGCATGTGTCCTAGGGCCCCATTCTTCTCTGCGAGGCGTTGTTGCAACTTGGGTAAGTGTAGATTCGTCTCTTGTTCTTATCGACAGGAGGGGGAATCTGAGGGAGTTGTTCACTACAGGGCGGTCTTGGCGGCGCGTCCTATCCTGAGATCCCCCGCTGGTGGGGTGCTCCATCGTCATCATGGGTCTCGTTGGAATGGGGCGGTGACGGGGGGCATTCTGG